CATGAATTGTAAAGAATAATTCAACAATAATTACATAGAGTTTAATAATAAAGTGTGATAAACATTAATAATAGTAAATATAGAGTGAATTATGAATAAGAGAATGAAAAATGTAAGACTTGAAAAATTAAGAATGCATAAAGGGAGAGAAAAAGTAGATAAAGGATATTTTGGGGGAATAAAAGAAATAATAGAATTACTACTTAATAGAATGAAATGAAATAAACAGAAAAGAATTAACAAGAAAAACAAAAAACAGGAAGCAAATAAAGTAAAAAAGAAAAGACAAACACCTCAAATTTCAAAAAAAAATTAATGAAGAAAGAGGAAAAAAAAGACTCCAAAAAAAATCTCTTGTGTTTTTGAATCAATTCAGGGTCTGCAGTATGAGGGAAGGATAGAGTCACTGCTAACAATTTGTTTCTGTTCTCACATTTGTTGAGAGTGAATTCTCAGTTCTTCCCTGCCTTTCCTGCTGAGTGTGGTTGATCAATGGTGTCCATCCTATGGCTATAGTCACTCTGGATGTCCTCCAACACTAACTTACTTTGTGGAATTTGATTGTAGAGTTAAATCTTTTGGGAGTTTTGTAGTTTACAATAGCTATAGGCTTTTCTTGGAGCTATTAATGTAGCCTGGTCTACTGTTTTTCCCTGGGGCCACAGATCTTCTTTGGTCTTAACTTATACCATCAGGGGCAAGTCTTCCATCCTGGGAGATGGTGTGAGCCTTTCAGACTGCCTCATTCTTTTCCCAGAACTGCCCTCATGCCTTCCAGCTTCACTACACTTTCTAGTTTTCTGATCGTTCTCTTTTGATAATTGCAGATCTACTTTTTTTTTTCTCTCTCTCTCTCTTCCTCTCTTCTATGGCTTGTGTTCAGATGGCTCCCCTAAGACTCACGCAATCATGGAAGAAGCTGAATCTAGTGCTTGTGATTGGTTCCTTGTCTAGCACTGGGATTGGCATTGTGAGTGCTGCACCCGCCCAGGCTCATGAAGACAGCATACAGTGTAAAGAAGGGAAGGTGGTGTGCTTTTCTTTTATTATTAATATTTTTTTTTGTGCTGTTCATTCTTGCTGTTTGTGGCCACCATGAACAGCTGCCCGTGTGTCATACCACCATAGGGGCCTTGGAATTAGCTAATTTTGGACTAACACTTCCAAAATTGCAAGAAATAAACTCTTTCTTCCCTAATTTTGGGCATCAGGTATTTTGTCTCAGCAACAAGAGAAAAGTAACTTTGACACTCTCTCTCTCTCTTCACCATGCTGTTATTTTTCTTGATTCCAGGTCTCAGAGAGGCTGTCTTTTGCTACTGATCTGTATTCTTCCATTTTAATCTGGAGATGTTTAATTTGGCTTGTAGTTTCAGAGGTCTGTGTCTGTGGTACGCTGGAATCAAAGCAGGAACTTCAGGGTAGAAGGGGATATAGGAGTATTATCTTTCTTCTCATGGTGACTGGGAAGCAGAGCAGGGAATAGCAGCAGAGATGAAAAGATCTGAAAGTAGAAATATTACCCAAAGTCATCCCTCTCTGGTACAATGCCAACACACCCAGAAATATGCTTTAATAGTGTTCTGGATGACTATAAAGCATATATATATATATATATATATATATATATATATATATAGTGGTCAGTGCTGCTGATAATAGTGTATGTCTTTATTTACTGTAAATTCAAACTGCATACAAAATACTCTTCCTTTGATCTCTATGATATTGAACGCTTGTAGTTTTCCTCTTCCTCCTCCTCCTCCTCCTCCTCCTCTTCATCTTCCTCTCTCTCTCTGTCTCTCTCTCTCTCTCTCTCTCTCTCTCTCTCTCTGTCTCTCTCTCTCTCACCTTCTGTCCGGTTTTGTTTGACACAGAGCCTCACAAGTAGTGTAGACTGCTTTTATGGGATCGAGGCTGACCTCAAACTCAAGGCAGTCCTCTTGCCTTAGCTTCCTGAGTGCTCAGATTACAGGTGTGTGTGCCACTGCACCCTTCTCTCTACTACTTCTTTGAAGCAAGTCTCTTCTTTGGAAAGTACTTGTTAGTTCTACTAACTAATTTTTTCTCCACCTAGCCACTAGTTCTACTCCATCACCTAGAATTCTTTTCATTCCTGGACTCAGTTATCAACTCTTGTGCTGATTACTCACAAATTCCTATCATCTCTACTGAGTTTTCTCCTGAGTTTGCAACTTGGCCACTTGATAACAATTATAGCTGTACCACCTGTATACTACCAGTATCTCAAATGCAGTATATTGTCAGTATTCTCGTCACATTCCTCCACCCAGCCAAATAATTTCGTGTACCTTGTTTTGCCTTCCTTTCTGTATGTTGCGGGGAAAATCTGAGTTAAAGGTAAACAATTTGTTGAAAGTTGTATTACAAATAAGATTTGAAAAGAGATAGAATAGTTTCATAGTTTGTGTCTCTACTGACATGTTCTACCTCCTCTGCTAGGGAAGGCTGCTTTCTAACCTAAAAGATGGTAACACATTTTTTTCCTTCTTATGAAAAATGATGCATACTGTGTGATCAGAAAAACTGTCTTGCAAAAATAAAGCACTTATTCTATTTTATATAAAAAGTTTGTTGAGTTACAATCTTATTAAATACAGTACGTACTTTTAAAGTTCATTTTGTAATAATTCATCAGTAATGTACACTAAAATTGCCTGAAATAGGTCTAAGTTTTTATATGTTACAAATTGATATTGATTATGAGATATGCCACTTGGAAAAACACTTATTTTGGTAAATATTTGCTTTATAAATTAAAAATTATGCATCTTTGCCACTATTTCCATCAACATAATTTCTTTTACAAAATAAAAAATATTTCAGGAACTTGCAGAACTGCTACACTGCATTATTTACAGTGGATACTAAGTACTATTGCAGTTACTGTGATTGATTACACAAACATATCAGAAGTCTAGGCTCTAAAAGAGAGTTTTGTAATATATGAGATTGCACCTGCCATCTGTGTTGGAAAAAATAAAAGAAAAACTTCTTCATTTTGTACTGTATATAATTAATGGATTTCTACCTTATGGGAACTGGCAGAAACCAGGTAAAGTAAGTAAACCTAATTTTCTAAATAATTTATAATTACTCTAAAAGGAAAGACATTTTTATGTCTTAAAACTAGTAATGTATTGATACATACTTTATATCTAAAATTTACACAAATTTTAGTAGAAAATAATGAACAAGAAAAGAAGATATTTATAAAGTCATGATCAATCAATAGAAATCATTGTTTATGAGGAAACCAAGCTGTTCTTTGGTATTTAAAATTTGGGAAAAATGCTAATTACTATCCAGAGTGCCAGATTCTCTGCTTTCATTAATTACTAATAAATTATATGCTCATGTAAAGTTCATTTTCCTAAAACCAAAAATGTGATATCATCTGGAGCGTTAGTCGTATAGATCTGGTAACACACAAAATAATAATTTTTACATTTTAGAAATGATTAAAGAAGTTTAACCATATTTCTTTCTTAAATACAAGTTATGGTTATTTTGTGAAACTTATTTTTTTAATTTTAAATTGGTAGATTGTCTCATATATGAAATTTCCTGCAAAATTTGTTGATATTATAATAAGTATTTGCTAGCAAGAACTGTTAAAACAGATCTCTATCTATCTATCTATCTATCTATCTATCTATCATATATATATATATGTCCTTAAGTAGCTTTATTGTTGTTCCTAATATGGAAATTAATGTCTACAGAAGGATTTTTACTTGCACATGCATTTTCAGAGAATGATTCATATACTTTAGTTAATTCTCATGAATCTTAATGTTACATTCCCAAACCATTCAAGATCTGCTTCTTAAATTTTAATTAGTTGTTGAGTTGCTTTGTTCCTTACACTAGCTTGTTATTAGTCAAGTATCACTGATTCAACCAGATGTTTAGGGGGAAAAAAAACCCTTTGTTTCATGGTACCAGATATTTGCCCACTAAAACGTCGGTAACTGATATAGAGAGCAGTTTAATACTTCTGAATGGAACTGAATTTTTCATTCAGTTTTCTCCTTGCCATAAATGTCACATAACACTAGGCATATCCTGCTAGAGAAACATTATCTGCAAAGGATTATTATCCAATTCTCACTTTAAAAAAAAAGGTGATCTTTACTTCCAAATAATAGTGAAAGACAATGGTTCTGAAATTTTTCTTTTCTTCTATGTTTAAATGCATAAAAGTTAAGCTCATCCTGTGAAGATCTGCTAATAATGGAAACTAAGACGATTCACCCATGAATAAAGGAAAAATAGATATTTGCAACATATATTAACCCCAAAAAATAGGTTTTACTAAAATTTTTCTGGAACTGGGACTTGAGAAAGAGAACCTCTTTGCTCCTTTTTCTTGTTTTCAAATGAAGCAAGCAATTCTTTCTGGTATGTCTTCATATCTCTGAGTTAATGGGGAGCTCTGCAAAGAGTTTAATGAGTTTAAGTAACATAGTTTGAGTCTCACTCCAAATAATTGTGAAATTAATATGAGACTTATTTCCATCCAAATCCAACAATGGGTCCTTTCTCTTTTGGCAGGCTTCATATAACTCAACACATACACTCATGAACAGAAAATATTTATAGCTAAGATGACAAAACTAGGTGAAAATGTGGCTAGTGAAATTATGTAAATATGTTTTAAGTCACAGTTGATTTATAAGTAGTTTCCAACATGTACTTGCATCATTGCCTGTAAAAGTGTGGTGGGAATCCATAAACTCAAACTGGTTCAGTCAGAATCTCTAATCTCCAGCAATTTAGATGCAACATATTAATGAATGATATATAAGGATATCTTCTTCCCAACAGAGCAATTGTTAGTAATGTAGCTCTGAACTCAGAATATGAAATTTGAGTCAAGCACTATTTTTATATGAATGGTGAAATGATTTGCAATACTGAAGTGTTATATCTGCCTGTGTTCATTTTACTTATTTACCTATTCATTTATTTTCCAGGAAGCATTGCCATCATTGTGCCTCTTGTCCTCTTGGTGACTTTGATAACTACCTTAGTAATTGGCTTAGTGCTGTGCAAGAGAAAAAGAAGGTAGGGAAAAGAGTTTTAAATGAATATTCAGGGAATTAATCACAGAAAAGTTGTAGAAATGGAATGATTGTATTAAAATTCATAAAATGAACAAGTTATTGCAATTCAAAAAGCATGCATTTTTAAATAACTTCATTCATAGTATTTCAAGTTATAATTATGGAACTATTCTCTCATGTTGACAGAATTACTGAACGTTCATGTTATTTAAAATTTTGGTAATATGTTACATTTCAGGTAGTTTTATATCAAAGATTGAAGACCTCTGAAGTATCCTATTATATATTTTTGTGTATAATTGGTAACATCACTAGAATGACACTGAATTGTTTCTTATATGTATGTTATAAATTGTGCATGTCATTAAAAATGGTGCATTAGTTTACTTTTTAATTGCACTAGAAATATCATCATTTCAATTTATAGGAGCATGCATTTATAAAGGATTGGTTGTCTGCAGAGTTTACTATGGAAACATGCTTCAATTGGTGTTTGAATTATGCAAAATTAGATTCTAGCTTTTTGAATTTGTAGTAAAATAACAAGATATTTCAAAATGTATTTATCAGTATTTTTTACATAGAGTTTCAGGGAAAAGAAGAAAATAAATTTAGAAAAAGTAATTGGTGAATTTTCAGTAATATAATATTAACTGTTCAAGAAAAACTTATTTCCATTGTACTATTACTATAAGTTAAAATAATTGACATATGAATTATAAAACATGACTTTTTGTTTTTCATTGACTTGACAAGTGTTATTTATTAAATTTATTTCACATTATTTTATTTATAAATTTAAATTTTTGGAGAGTTAAGTCAATAAGTTGATAACTATGATAATTTTAATTACCTTGAACAGTGATAATTTGTATAAATCACACCTATGTTTATAAACACATATTCTAGGACAAAAACAATTAGAAGGCAGCCTATTATCAATGGAGGAATAAATGTAGAAATTGGCAACCCATCTTATAGCATGTATGAGGTGGATCATGACCACAACGATGGAACTCTTTTGGATCCTGGCTTTATGGTAGATCCAACAAAGGTAATATGTCTCAGATGATGGATAGCAGGGACTACTATTCTTGATGGAAAAGCTAGATTGTGGTTCTGTATTTTATTATTGTTAAATAACTGAAGTTATAGTAAACAGGTCTAGGAGTCACCGAATGATAATAGTCTTTCCTAAATAAAAATACAATATGAAATTCATTGACACTGAACATGCAAGTTCATGCAACATATTTTATAAAACTGTTTCATTTGGTTTGTAAAATATGTTATTTAAAATAAGACCTATTGAAATACGTTAAATTGTTAACATATCTGACATATGAATTATTTTAAAAATGTTGGCTGATTTTCAATATAAGAGTACATTGTCAAAATAAGTATTTTACTTTCAATTGTTTAATTGAAGAAATTACTTAGATATGTCATTAGATTTTATGTAACCAAATCATTTTGAGAACATTTTAGTTGTCACGTATCTGCTGAGATATGTTTCTAAATTTGAAACACATCATTGATACATACTCTCTACAAACTCATAGTCTTTTGAAAGTGTCCAGTATTTCTTATTACTCTATCCTGAAATGTCATAAATATCTGGACAGAATTGCATCATTACTCCACTGAATTATCTAAATATTTTGAATGATAATTTTAGCTATTTTCTCAGAATTAAATGCATTGATTTGCTCTTACGTAGCATTTTTCTTAGATTACTTATTCACTTACAATTTATATATTTCCAATTGAATTAAGGACACATTTTAAGTGCAGATGCATTTTATAATCAGTAGAATAATCTATATTCAAATTTCTCCCTGGACTAACACATGTTCTTAAAGAGTTCAACAGAGTTCAGCATAGTCTCATCTATTAACTCTAATTCTGAATCTCATTGAATTAAACCTGCAATTGATATTTGCTTTCATAAAAATGAATCATTTACTATTGTGTGGGTAAAACTAATATTATTAGAAAAAATACAATGATCTTTTCCTAATTAAAAGTGATTTTGCACATTATTAATTAACAAATTCCTAATCTGAATTTGTCATGACATAAATTCTAGTAACTGTGGCTCTAGCATTTTCTACTTAAAATATAAAGATTATTCTATTCATGTTTTTATTTGAAAATTCATCTATGAAGAAAAATATCTGAAAAATAGATTTCTGAGATTCTTTGAATATTTTTTATGAATAAATATACAGCAAAAATACCCACAGCATTCATAAGCATACCATGAAATTCATTTTAAAGACTTCTTACTTTTCTTCAAGGAGAGTTCTCATTTTCTCTCATTATTTTTATTTCTAGTGATAAAATCAATTCAATTTTGGGTACTTAAAGAGAAAAAGTCTTTATTGCTGCATTTTAAAACTTTTAAAACATTTACTCTAGGAAAATAAAACTATTTTTTAATGTTGCTCAGATGTATTTTAATATATACAGTATTTTGCACTCAATATTTATTTACCAATTTAATGGCTAACCAAAATTTCACAAAATGTTACTTAGAAAACTAGTTCTAACAGGTTCCTACTGTTTCAAATATAAATATGAATTGTTATATAAGAAGTAAATATGTGCACAAAATGTTTCTAGTTTTAACAGGTATGGGTCTTAGTAAAAACAGAAATTTACATCAATACCATCTTAACAGTCAAATGAAATTAACAAAGAATTTACTCTTTACGATGGTATGATGCATATGCATGATGTAAACAAATATGAATTGCTTTATATGTAAAGAAAATTTGTGCAGAAGAGTCATTCCTATTATTTCCAAAATGGTAAAAGTTCTGATTAAGTGATAAAATCAAAGGGACTGAGGTATGTGACAAAATTGCTAAAATATTTTGACCTGGGAAAGTTCTCACAGATCAATGACAGCAATACTGCTGGTTTTATCTTAAAATGCATCTCAATTTTTCCTAGGATTTTTAGAAGGTTATGATTAATTTGTAAAGAATTTATTCCAAACTCACATTTATAGATTTGTAAATAATTACAGAGGAGTATCATAAGAATTTTTTGAGAATTTTATAAACGAGAATTTTGTGGGGAAAAAATTGAGGTATCATTGACTTATTTTATGTTTTAAATCTTTTTCATAGCCCCTGCCTCTTGTCTAAAGTTTTCTAGTTTTTCATTAAGAACTGCTGGTTAAGAGATTAAAACATATGCATGCTAATTTATATTTGCATTTTCTCCAAGTGTTCATCTAATTTTTAACACTAATAAGCACTCTGTTATGATTATGAGTGTAACAGATTGGATAAGTCTGCCATTAGACCCACTAAAGTCTGAAGTCAATGACCTTGCTTGGAGGCTTAGTTTAACCAATATTATTACAAATGAATCTGTTTTAGACTAGCGTGATGTTTAAAAGCTCAGACAAGTCTGTTTTGCTTTATTAAATTCAAAATTTGGCTTTCCCACTAACATTATAAAGTAATGATGTTTGTTCAATTAGAAATGATCAGATATTTGCCTGTCTAGATGGGACCACTGTGGGAATTCAGACTTTTTCAGTGTCAGAACACCTTAAATAAGGGAAAGCTGGTATATTTTTGCAAAGGTTTAATTGTAGCTATTGCTTCCTTAAGCAGGATGCATTAAAATAGAAAAGAGTAGAGGCTGCTACTGTCAGTAAGCTGCATATAATTGAAATGCCTACCTATGCAGTAAAGATCCAACATTAATATTCCTTTCTTAAATTGTGAAAGTTAACATGAACACACTATTCACGGCCCAGGGCTAGAGAATATTTTTATGTTGCTTTTATGATTTGACATGATTTATATTGATGAAAAATGTTTCCATGATATTATATGAGAAACTAAAATCTTCTGTTTACGTACAGGCCAGATACATAGGGGGCGGGCCCAGTGCATTCAAGCTTTCACACACAGCGCCTCCCATCTACCTAAACTCTGATTTGAAAGGACCACTAACTGCTGGGGTGAGAGAAGCAATTCATTATTCCATATCCATTCCATCACAGAAGCCTCTCAGTTACAGTGTGACTATTACAGTTAGATATTTGTCCTTAATTAATTTTTTAATTAAGGAGAAATTTCAAAACAGCCTTAAATTGGGGGCTTATGTGTCCTGTGTATACAAGACTGCATATAAAACATCTTATTTTAGGCAAGTTGTTAAGCATAAATGTTACTTTTATAAGATTTCAAAATGTTATAGTTCCTTAGTGAAGAGCTTGTTCTTAGAAGACAACCTCAAGTCAGAAATTTAAACTGAATACTTTAAAGTTAAATCAGATTTTTTCTCTATGTATACATACATATATATATATATATATGCATGTTTTAAAGTGTATAATTTCACGTGTCATCATAATGAGAAATTACAATGGTCTAATAAAGCCACTATCATTTTTAATTAGTGCTTAAAGTTACTGTCTAAAATTATATACTTCATTGTGGGCAGGAATGAATTAAATATGAATATACGTATTCCTAGGAATTGGTGTTTTTACCTTGTTCCTGTTTCCCTTCAACTATTTCATTTATATTTTATCATGTGTGTCTCTTTTGCATGACTCAAATATTGTACAGTTTCCCTATTGTAACTATGATTTAGAGTATCACTTCTGCAAAAGCCAAACAGGAAAAAATGTAGGCAATGTATCTTGGTTAAACTGCAATTTGTTAAACAATTGATACCGCATAAGTTTTCCAACTGAAGGAGCTCACTGGTACCTGCCTCAGTTGTATTTCAGAATTCTTAGCCTATGTATCTTTAATGCGTGCTTCACGATTCTTAGGAACAATCCTAGATGCTTCACTTAATCAATGTACACAGATTTTTTGAAGCAAAAAAATTTTTTTGTTTTGAAGTATATTTCATTGATAGATGTATTTCTTCACTTTTGTTTCCTTGTTTTTAACTTCATTTTGAAAAATATTTTAAGACCAACCAATTAAATGAAGTTTTATATTCAAAACTTACCTGCGACTAATGGGTTTGCATTAGCAATAAGAGGTGATGATGGATGTGATGGGCCACGTCACCTAGAAACACGACAATCTGCTTAAATAGTTTATAATAATACGTCAGTGTATATGTTTCCAAGACTATGTTTTCTGGTTCTTCATTTTACATCAAAGCTCCTGTTAGTTTCACAAGCTACCGAGAAAACATGAAGTTTTTCTTTTAGTTTAACAGTAGGTTAAACTAGGCTAAAACCTATAAACATAAAATATCAATTGCATTTCAGCATATATTTAGTAGTTTGAATGTATATAAATATTGTTACCATAATATGTAGACATCTTACAAGCAAGTCAACAGTTACAAATCGTATTTATTGATTTTGATTTCTCTTCTTCAGCCAACAAATTACTCCAACCCAGTGTATGCAAAATTGTATATGGATGGACAAAACTGTCGAAATTCCTTAGGAAGTGTGGATGAACGCAAAGAACTGCTTCCAAAGAAAATAGAAATTGGTATAAGAGAGACAGTGGCATAATCAGTGATATCTTTTATATGCTGTATAAATGTATAAAATATAAGGATTACTTTTGTATGTTCCAACAGTATTATACTTGCTTTGGCATCAGCATTACCTCTTTGTTTATCTTTTACTTGGTTAATTGTTTTCTGAGTATTTTGGTTTTAATCTTTGCTGATGACTATTGATTGACCATTTGTATGGTATTTTTATGAAAAAGAACTGCACTACAGTACAATTTCCAATTTGCTGCTGATATGACAACCTTCAAATTTGTTAAAGTTAAAAATGACATAATCTTTGTAGTGTGAATATGAGCAATCTATTTTATATGAACTTTTTTGGTTCTACTTAATCAACAAAATAATCTCTGCACTTTTTAATTACGTGATCTAAAAGCTGTAATACCATGTAATTTTGTTTTTCTTTTTAAATTGATGGATAACAACTGAATGGACAACTCTCTTCTTTGTGAAAATGAACACTGACTTTGCTGAAAATATGTAACCCTCACAAGTTCACTGTCACCTGCTTTGAAATTAGCCTTAGGTTGCAAAGTGATACATAAAAATTTTGAAGTAAAAAGTTAAAAATATATAAAATTAGTACTATGCATGAACAAAGATCACTACCATTTTCCAAAACTTAGTGAACTCCGTGATATACTAAAATTACACATCCTGTAAGCAATAGCTATATTTCGGTGGTAGAACATAGCAAAAATATAACTAGAAATTGATAGATCACTCTTATATGGCATAAGAACTCTTCTCCCTCAGTCCCGAGGTACATAGCCAGCCTACAGCACAACAGGGCATTGGGTACTCGTGTCTTAGGTATTTCTTCCCAATTATATGACTTTTGTGGAAGATTAGCCCAACCCCTTACCACACTAACATTAAGGAATAACATAAGCACACAAATTGAGGACAGAATTTTAATTATGCAAATGCTCTCTCTGTGCTCAGTCCAAAAGAAGAGGTGAAATGTCCATTTTGGTATAAAGTGATTGGTGATCATTTTCAAATAAAAAATGACTGACCATTATTTGCCCTATTTGAAATACATTCTTCAGTAATCTTCCACATTGTAGAAGAACAAATATCTGCCCGTATTCAAAGGTGGAGAGTATAAATGCTGTACCAGTTGCTCTGGTACTTGGTTTTCCTTTTGGTTTTACAAAATAGATGATGCCCATTTGTTTTTGTTTGTTTTCAAATTTTGATTGAAAATACGATTTATTTAAGTTGTATAAAAAGGATAGCATTTTTATACAAATATCTTTAAAGGCACAAAAGATTTATTCTCAAGTTGTAGAGGGCTTTTTGTTCCTCTGATAGACATGACTGACTTTTAACTGTCATAATGTATTAACCTAACAGATGAAATATGTTTGTGGTTGCTCTTTATCCCTTTGTACAAGCATTAAAAAAAACTGCTGTTTTATAAGGACTTTTTGTTGTACTATGTGCATGCATACTACCTATTTCTAAACTTTGCCATATGGAGGCCTTTATAAACTTGATTTATGTAATACTAGTGCAATTTTGCTTGAAAAAATGTTATGCATATCATAAACTTTTTCAGGTTCTTGTTTAAGTACATTTTTTAAATTGAACAGTATTTTTCATTTTGGTTATAATAGTCATTTTGCCTATGTTTCTACAATGAAGTGTCAAATACTTTATAAAAAATTGTTGACTGAATTATTTAAATGAAATTCTACATATATAAGTGTTTGTGTTGGGTAATTTTTAAAAATAAGAAAGTTCTTTAAATGCTTTAAGTTGCCCTAGAAAACCATTATAGTGAACATGGAAGATTTTCTATCCTTAGATTGTTGTCTGCAAGAAAAAATGGATTCCATTGTTTTAGTTTTCAAAGCAGCATGGAGGAAGTGTTTTCTCTCCCTTGAATAAGAAACATTACTTTTTGCTTACTCCTTTCTCACTGAACTTGCCTTAGACTCATACTGCGATGGAAATGGATAGACTATATGAACAGTAAGATGCCCTTCCCTCTCTTAAAAATTGCACATTATGGAAAACTGACACTACTTTACATGTTACTTAGACATTAAGTGTAATGCTCATTGGAATGTCTACTTGTAGTATGAGTCTAGAGACTACAAAAGTAAGAGTCTGATCTACTTGCATGACCATTAGCTTATATTTTCTGAAGAGTCCTTTTTATAGGAGGGCTCAATAAATGAAACTAAAATTATCATTTGAAAGGAAAAGAATCCATGGATTGGTATGATCTTGTTATATAACTGTAGAGCAAACATATGTGCTATACAGTGAGCAAAGAAGCAATACCTACCACTGACAGTTCATTCTCATTAGGGTTCTCCCAAAAGCCATATTGAAGAAAGAAAAGTTTACTGGAGAGACTTACACATTCTCTACAAAAGCCTTATGTTTTCATGATCCTTCTTTATGCACCAGCTTTGTGGTTCCCTGCTCATTCACAAAAATCCACACCAGAGTCCATGTAAGTTTACATTCAGCCTTTGCAAGACAAAAACTAATTTTCAGTACTCAAACTTTATTTATAGATCTCTTTGCATTCTAATCTCTTTTCTGTTACAAAAGCTCATATGAATTCTAGAAATTTAAATGTACAAATAAGTTCCACTAACAAAATAATTCCTACATAATTCCTTTAAGAATCAGAGGGAGATATTTTATAAAAATTAATGTTTCCTGAAAACTTACTCCCCACCTAAGTATCTTTACGTCTAGACCAAGAGATTTCAGCCACTTGATATTTTTGGCTAAGAAATTATTTGCTATTCTTTAACAGAGAAAAGATTTACCTGTGTTCTGTCCATTTAGGTGATATTAATATTATCCACCCCCTAAATATACAACTAAAAATGCTTATAACTGCTGCCAACTACCTTCTGGGAACAAAATCTCTCCTTTGAAAAACTGCTAATCTTCAGCCCTATTCTGTCTCTTACTATTAAATGACTGCAGAGTTGAAGAATTGAGTCATAAAAGGTCTATAGTCAACAAAATCATGACTTTCCCAGTTTTTATTTCAATTATTTAATGTCGATAATGCGTACATTATAATTATATCAAATTACATTATTAAAGTGCCTGTATAGTAAACAAAAAGTCATTACTAAGGGAAAAAGTTTCATTTAAGAATGTGAATAATTTTGCACAAACTGGACTTTTTAATTTATATGAATTTGTTTTACTTTAATATCATTAATGATTATGCTTTACTTTATTTTGCATTTTATCATACGCTTGTTTTACTGATTCTTAAAATTAATATTTAGCCTCACGCTATCTTTTAAAAATTATACTCTTCATTTTTATGATGATTTGGATATAAAAACAGTTCAATCCTAAATGCTTGTAATAGTTATTTTAAATGAATTATATAATATGCAAGGATACCCACAATTTCCAAGCCTTTATAAGAAAAATGATATTTATGATGAAAGAAGTAGAAAAACACTTCTTATTTTCTATTGTTGTTCCTTAACTACATAGTTTCAAATATACTCTGGATATAACATTTTATTATTTCCCATGAATGTCACTAATATTTAGATTCAACTTTTCCATATAGTTTTAGGTAAAAAGTTAAAATTCTTGCAAAGACAAGCAAAATATAATTAACAGTTTTCTAGATGCAGTTTTTTTTATATTATGCCCATGCTAATTTCTTCATCTTTTTATAGTGACTTTCTGCATAATAAACACTATGCTTGAATTTTATGTAGATCTATTTTATATAGATGTTTTATATTTATATATTTATTAGTTAAATATGAACCTTTGAATTGTAACTTTCAAGAAATTAGAAAAATCCAAGCACTTCTTAGGAAGTCAGTACTGCAAATGGTATTTTTCCTATTTGGAATGTGAGAAAACTAGTGCAGGAGTCAAACAAGAATTATTTTTCAGTTCTACCACATCATTGTTAGCTTGACTTAACCAGGAAAATAGCTTGTACAGGAAAAGATAAAGATAATTAAAAATATATAGGGTAGGGGTTTTATTCAGAAATACATTTAGATTTTGATCTTACCCTTTCCTAGAGCCCATTAACCTGTACCTTAGACTGTGTTATCAGGTATCTAGTCTACAGAAAGAAAAATAGGAGAAATGAGTCATTTGATTTAGTTTCTCTCTGGTAGATATTATACTTTAGTGGCTGCAATTTATTCTGAAAAATAGTTTCTACTGAATGCCATCATATTTTTTCTATCCAGACTGATCAAAAATCAAAAGAAAAATCGGCACTAAAGATAACCTATTTGATAAATTCTATGCTTAGGATGTATTTATTCTACCTGATGGATAGTCTGCTCTTTTAGCATGGAATTTAGAAGATACCAACAAACCTAAGCAATTCAGTTCTGATATTTTGGTCATTTGTTCACTCCAGGATAACTTTTTGGCTGCAGTTTCTTCTGCAGTTTCAATGCATAAATTATAAACCTCCCGATGCAACTGGATTTCTGGCTTATTTATGAAGTAGTGGCTAGGATAGCCAATAATATAATTGTTCTAGTGTCTCAGAGAATAATGTCAGTAGTGAAAATAATATACAACTTACTAAGGTCAATAATCTTAAAATTTATAAGTGAGACAATATTTTTCTCACACACTGAGTAAACTGTGAGATCTACTTGAGAATAAATTTAGGAGTTTTAAAACATAAGGAGTTTGAACGGTGTTTATAGAGATACCTAAAATCAATGCATGAAATACAGGTTCAAATTGACTGGTCTGATGAGATACCACACATTTCAATGAATAATGCAAAAGTTAGGAAAGAAATAACTGGAAGATGAAATTTCTGAACTGAAGTAACCCATATTCCTGAAATCTACAAATGCCAATTATGGTTGTAGAAATCTGCATGAATAATCTCTTGTTCTCTCTCTCACACACACACACATGCACACGTAAACACACACACACACATACACACACACACACACACACACACACAGGTTTTCATATTCTATTAATTGTTAAGATGCAGTAGCTCTCCTATTTTGTTTAAATTTCAATCATTTTTACCTACTCTGGCTTAAAATTCCAGATATCATTACCCTTACACATAATGATAGCCACTTTCTAGTTTGTGTGCCTTATTGTACAATCATTCCCTCCCATTTGCATATTCTCTTCCACCCAATGTGGAATTAGAGGAAGTCAGCATACCTTGTATACTATTTTGTATAAGCAACCTTACTTAAAATTACTATAAAATGTATTGGGATTTATAAAACAGAAAAAAATATATGAATGAAAAATAAATATCACTAATAATTAGGATCCAAATTTAAAAATATTTTTTCTCCTTGTAAAATAAGAAATTTTTTTTATCCTTTTATCCCCCTAATCTAACTCACTTCCATTGTCTTTCCTGATCCAATTTATGGTTACATTTTGGAAATGTTTCTACAGATGGATTTTTTATGCTATGTCCTTTCTTTTTTAATTTATGAAAATATTTGAATTATTTTAAATTAATACTTCTTGTTTTAAAAATCAGTATAATTCTTACTGTGTGATTTCTCTATTCTTAATTTTATTTATTCTTCCTCTAGTGTTATTTTATTTATGTATCTCATCAAAAACCTTATCTGTAGTATATTTGCTGAATTTTCACCAAGGCAGATGTTTCTCTAAGACTTTCAAATATTAATATAAAATTGGCTGGATACACATTTCGAGAGCTATAAACTTTTCCTCCAGAATTAGGTTGAGCCTGATGTACTGCTTATAAGCATCCAATTTTTAAGGAATATTTTTTCAGGCCAAACATGTTTTTATATCTTTGTATTGCTTCTTCCCACACATAAAACAGACAACTAAATATAATTTTAAAATCTTGCTCAATACACATACTACGTTTCATCATTTCTAAAGCTCACATAACCTACTTTTAGCTAAAATTAGTTTTCTCTAAGTCTCTTTATTGCTTATGTTCAAGTTATTTTCTTTTACACAGAAACACCCACTATTCCTAGATTACATATTTCTCTTTCCTTTATCACATATTTCAACTTAACTGTTTTCCTCTCCATTTTCCTCATTTATTCTGCAAGATATTTTTCAATTTCCTGGTTTCTGGTACTGATTAATATTTTCTCCCTTTAGACTGGATGTTTTTGGTGACTACCCATGCAAAGCTATCTGTGCATATGTGCAAACACCTTAGGAATGAATTTAATTTTGTTCATAGAGTTTTTCTCCAACTTCTTTTTCAATACAAATATTGTGTATTTGTTTGCTTGTTTGCAATATATTGTATTTTTCCTTAGGTATCTCTGGTGCAGTGTCATGGTGGGTTATATTTCACTCATGGTATCCATGAGTTTTAAAATTTGCACCTGTTCTCTAAGTCTACTGAATAGTGCCTGCATTTCTTTATTTATGGAATAAATAGAAAACAGTCCACACTTAAGTAAA